GCACGCACGCACGCACGTACGCTGTTATACCTCCTTTTTGTATATTTGTGAGAGTTGTACATTTATCAAACTTTAAAATTTAATTGTCCAGACACGTGTTTACACCACAGCGGAACTACCCTTTCCGACTAATCAAGCTACTACCGTGTCTCGCGATGCACAATTTAATCCCATGCACACTAATATTCCACATAATATCCTTATATTATTAATATTCTACTTCTATTTTATTAATATCCTTAATTATTCTGGTAAGAATTTTCATAATGACATTTAATTTATTATGTTTTACAGAGAGATGACGAAGAGGTACACGGGTAGGGGCACATCGGCAGCAAGAGCGCTTCATGCGTTTCCTTTACCAATTGTTTTCGGCCCATAATAATTGGGGGCATAGAAGATGTAATACATATCAGGTTTTAATTTTTTTACATCCGTCAAAAATATATTTTATAACAAAATTAATTTAATACTAAAACAAATTTTAATTTTTCTTTTTTTGCAATGTCCACGTCCTCCGCCATCTGAACAGTAATAGTACTATTGTGATTAGAATTCGAGCGTTGTTTTAGAAGAAAAGTCTGTTGCTCTATGATTTATGCTAAGTTTGTACTGTTTTTAAGTTTGTCGTATATGAATGAAAGTTTATGCTTTTTCATTTGTCATGTGTACGTATGAAATTATGTAAAACTTACATATAAGATTAAATTTTTTTTTGCTTCCATACGTAATGTAATTTAAAGCATCCATACGTAATGTAACTTACACATAAGATAAATACGTAAAAGATTTTGAAAAAATATATACTATAAAACTTTAAATCGATCGATCGAGTCGTCGCTTCATGATTGAAGAACGTGATCTCTATATTGACGAGGTTGTAAGGTGGTGTACAACCTGCCTCCACTGATTTCTATCGGTGGCCATCCTCATTGCTGTATAGAACTTAGTATTTCCATCCTCTTTTATTTGGTCGGCCCATCTGCTGGGGGATCGACCTCGTGGCCTCTTGCCCTCTACACTGCCAGTGAGGACTAGTTTCTCGAGGTTTTCGTCACCTCGTCTGACTACATGGCCGAAGTATGTCAGTATTCTCTTCCGACATGTAACGGACAATCGTTCTTTTATTCCAACTTCTCTGAGGATGGATATGTTTGTACGTTTGGCCGTCCACGGCACCCGCAGCATTCGCCTCCAGCACCACATCTCGAATGCGTCAATCCTCTGCCGTTCTCTTTCTCGGATAGTCCATGTCTCTACTCCATACGTGAAGATTGGAAATACTAG